ATAACACACACACTCTCAGACACTCACTATAACACACTCTCAGACACTCACTATAACATGCACAGACACTCTCTCAGACACTCACTATAACACACACAGACACTCTTAGACACTCACTATAACACACACACACTCTCAGACACTCACTATAACACACACACACACACACACTCACACACGCGCTCTCTCACACACACACACACACACACGCTCACCCGCACACACACTCTCCCACACACACACACACACACGCACACTCTCACACACACACACACTCTCTCTCACACACACACTCACTCACACACACACACACACACACACTCTCTCTCTCACACACACACTCACACACACACACACGCACACTCTCACCCACACACACACTCTCTCACACACACACACACACTCTCTCTCACACACACACTCACTCACACACACACACACACACACACTCTCTCTCTCACACACACACTCACACACACACACACGCACACTCTCACCCACACACACACTCTCTCACACACACACACACACTCTCTCTCACACACACACTCACTCACACACACACACACACACACACTCTCTCTCTCACACACACACTCACACACACACACACGCACACTCTCACCCACACACACACTCTCTCACACACACACACACACTCTCTCTCACACACACACTCACTCACACACACACACACACACACACTCTCTCTCTCACACACACACTCACACACACACACACGCACACTCTCACCCACACACACACTCTCTCACACACACACACACACTCTCTCTCACACACACACTCACTCACACACACACACACACACACACTCTCTCTCTCACACACACACTCACACACACACACACGCACACTCTCACCCACACACACACTCTCTCACACACACACACACACTCTCTCTCACACACACACTCACTCACACACACACACACACACACACTCTCTCTCTCACACACACACTCACACACACACACACGCACACTCTCACCCACACACACACTCTCTCACACACACACACACACTCTCTCTCACACACACACTCACTCACACACACACACACACACACACTCTCTCTCTCACACACACACTCACACACACACACACGCACACTCTCACCCACACACACACTCTCTCACACACACACACACACTCTCTCTCACACACACACTCACTCACACACACACACACACACACACTCTCTCTCTCACACACACACTCACACACACACACACGCACACTCTCACCCACACACACACTCTCTCACACACACACACACACTCTCTCTCACACACACACTCACTCACACACACACACACACACACACTCTCTCTCTCACACACACACTCACACACACACACACGCACACTCTCACCCACACACACACTCTCTCACACACACACACACACTCTCTCTCACACACACACTCACTCACACACACACACACACACACACTCTCTCTCTCACACACACACTCACACACACACACACGCACACTCTCACCCACACACACACTCTCTCACACACACACACACACTCTCTCTCACACACACACTCACTCACACACACACACACACACACACTCTCTCTCTCACACACACACTCACACACACACACACGCACACTCTCACCCACACACACACTCTCTCACACACACACACACACTCTCTCTCACACACACACTCACTCACACACACACACACACACACACTCTCTCTCTCACACACACACTCACACACACACACACACACACACTCTCTCTCACACACACACACACACACATCCTGATCATTCCGCTGAAGAAAGCGCTCGGATCAGCCGCCAAACAACGCAAAACAAGAAGCAGCGAGTCTCGGAGTAACGACTGGATCTACAGTAACGATGGAGTTTCTTAAAGACGAGAAAGACGACGCGAGGGATGCAGAAACCCACGGAGAGAAAGACCCCGACGAGCAGAGAGGTCTGTGATGTTAACAGTGATCTACATGAACTCTATTACTGTGTGTCCAACAGGGATCTCAGCATTATATCTTTGTATCGGTGTGTTTGCAGAAACAGTGCAGCAATAATAGCGCAGACCCTTATCTAACATATTCAAGTCCACGTGGAACTTGAACGATCTCTTCCGTTTGCTCTCGGTTTTTTGGAGACAATGGACACACAAAAGATGCTGTTAATACATTGTGATTATTGCAGAGCACTGTACAGATGTCCGACGATCATTTACATGCAACTCACCATGAATAACCTCACGTATTTGTTTTATATGTGCAACTCATTTAAGAGGGATGGCATGATTTTAACAGTATGTTAATAAATATGAACATGCTACAGTTTTTACATCTATTTATTTTCACAGAACATAAAAGAAGATGTTTTGAAGAATGTTGGTAATCAAACAAGTTCTGGTCCCCATTTACCTCTGTAGTATTTTCAAACTATGGAAGTCAACATCTACCAGCAACTGTTTGATTACCAACTATCTTCAAAATATCTTCTTTTTGTGTTCAAAACTTTGTAACAATATGAAGGTAAGTTTTTGGGTGAACTGTCACTTTAAGGGGGCGTCTTCACTCATCTTAACCTGGAACATTAACATTTCTGCCCAAACAAGTACAAGTTAGAGGTAATTGCATAACTCCTTATGACGGTGCAGGCATATTGTGTAATCACACTACATTTGTCTTGGACACACATTGTGTAGCAAAGCATTACTGTTTCTGAAACATTTCTGTCTTACCAAAGCCACTATCGACATTTATTATTATTATGGTTAATTGATCCAGTATTTTGCACTATTTTCATGTTGTGGAGACAAAACCCAGGAAATTTTATAATAAGGATAATAATAATAAGTATTAGAGTTGTGATAAAAGGAGCCTTTAGCATATACATGGTGATATAAAATTTATATTAAACAGGGGTCACTTTTATTTCTTATTTCACTTTTCTTGTCAATTTAATTTATTGTTTTTTTGAAAAAGTACATTTCATTTGTTCCTTTCAGACCTGATGGAAGTGGAAGAGGATACCGAAGAACAGAGTGAACTTGAAGAAGAAAGTGAAGAACTGCATGAAAAATCTTCTAAAAAGAATAAAAAGAATGTGTCCCAAAAAAGATCTCAGAGAACTGGAGCTAGAAAGTCGTGCACCTGCGGTCAGTGTGGAAGGAGTTTCACGTGTAAGGGAAGCCTGAAGGATCACATGAGAATTCACACTGGAGAGAGACCTTTCACATGCAAGTACTGTGGAAATGGGTTTAAACAAAGAGCAAGCCTTACAGAACACATAAGAATCCACACTGGAGAGAAGCCGTTCAAGTGCAATCAGTGTGAGAGGAGTTTTCGACAAAAAGGAAGCCTTACAGGTCACATGAGAGTTCACAGTGAAGAGAAGCCTTTTACATGCCAGCAGTGCGGGAAAACTTTTGCACAAAACGGAAACTTTCAGACTCACTTAAAAACTCACTCTAATCAGAAGGCATTCATCTGTCCTCAGTGTGGGAAAGGTTTTAATTTGCTAGGAAGCCTGAAAAAGCATGAGCTCGTTCACAGTGAAGTGAAGCCGTATCACTGCGCTCCATGTGGGAGAAGTTTCAGCCAAATGACCGAACTTAAAAGACATTTAAAGTCCTTCATGCATAATAAATACCTGCCGCTAGAGAAATTCATGCTCCAGAGTGGCTCCTCAGCTCATGGTTTGCCCTCAGGAGTGAATATGTCCTTCACTAAAACACACTTCCTGCAGTGAAATCCCTGCTGTTTTTATGAAGGCAGTAAAAGGAAGATCAATGTATTAAACAAATAATTAAAAAATGTCTGTTACTGTAAACAGATGCTTTAAAGTTCAGGAGGTAACCACTTTTAAATTAATAAAATTACTTGTGTATGGTACCATTCAAAAACAAGGTCTGTCTCTTATTTCTACACCTTAAAGGTATCATATCGATCCCAAGTGCAGTATGGAGTACCACAAGGCTCAGTACTAGGACCGTTTCTTTTCACCCAGTGCATGTTACCCTTGGGAGATATCATCAGGTTAGCTTTCACTCTTGTGCTGATACTCAGCTCTATATTTTCTTCACAGCCTGATGAAACATACCAATTTGCAAAACTAACAGACTGCATAGTTGACATATAAAAAATCTAATGACTAGTAATTCCTACAACTAAATCCTGAAAAAAAACAGGTTTAAAAAAAACAAATATCCGCACATAATAACCTAGAATACTGTTTAATATGGTCAAATCTTAAATTTTGAAAACCACAAAATTATAGTATTCGTAAAACCAAATTTTTCTGTCTTATAAATATATATAAATTAGACCTATGCTCTTAATGTCAAATGCAGAAATGTTAATTCATCTGTGTACATATTGTAACAGTTGAATGTTACTTAGGGTGTAATTCTACTACCCATCATTAGGGGACACTATGGTTCTCTTATGCTAAATTTAAATACAGTTAGGTGGTAGAAGAAGAGAGAGCTGTTTGGTAAGTGGAAATCATGGCTTCCCTCTTGTAGCCTTACCTTCACTGAGATGTCCTGATTGGGAAACATGTTGTTCTATGCTCTATCAAAGTAAGGTCCTTTTTTATGCATATTCACAGTGTGGCTGTATAAATTGCATTTCATGGTTTTGAGGTTTATTCTAATGTTTGTTAATATGTTGTTTGTAGAAGGACTCATTTGACCTAGCCTCCTTAGATGTATCAATGGTGCATTTACGACGGCATGGTACATCTTGAAAATATAAAGGACTAATTTCCCTGCATTGCATCTCCTTACTTTGGGTCATCAAAACTGGATATTAATTACAAGGAAAATAACTATTTACATCTGCCTTTTCTACAAGGTTTCTTCTTTTGCTTTTGGATTGGGATATATAAGTATAACCATCTTCATTACATTAACATTTTGTGCTCGTATTGTAACCTCATTTTGTATATAGACATATTTTTGTATTGGTTCTCTTGGGTCTTTTTGTACGATTGGTTTATGGTATGTTATTTTTGCTTTGGGGTTTATTATTGTGAGTTTTATTGTTGTTTTTCTTTTTTATAATATATCTCTGCTAAGAAAATCAGTTGTCTGTTCTATGGTTCAACCTCAACCAGTTTAAGTATTGTGAGAAGTTAGTAGGTAGATCCCTCCCAAAGGAAAAATACTTTCAGATTTATAACTATTACTCATAGAAGTACGAGTTTGTTATTATATCTATGATTTTAACCATCATAGTATCATGGAGCCACATGAAAATAAGTCTCTTATTAATTAACTATTACTTTGGGGAAAATAATAAAATTTGTTGTTTTGGCAGTAACGGCAATTAATTATATGTAAGTAGGTATGTTTATATGTTTATAGCAAAAATGTAGTTAAAGAAATGTTATTAGGACCATATTAGCCCGGTTCTGTCAACACTGCACTGGCTCCCTGGCTCCCATCCTATAGATTTTAAAATCTGGCTTATTACTTATAAAGCCCTGAATGGTTTAGCACATCAGTATTTGAGCAAGCTCTTATTGCATTATAGTCCTCCACGTCCGCTGCGTTCTCAAAACTCTAGCAATTTGATAATACCTAGAATATCAAAATCAACTG